TGTGGCGGGGGACAATCTGGTGCCGGGCCGGGGCAAAATGTACGAATGGGAGAAGAGGAATGTGGAAAATCGCAACAATTTAGGCTCATCCAACACAGAGTGAAAGTGAAAAAAGATGGGGATAAATGATATAACACAAGTTCAAGTGGGCCCATCAGCCTTGTCGGTAACCGGGTGGACGCATATGCGACTATATGTACGTAAGACCAGATCGAATTGCCCATCCCGACAGCGTTTCCATTTATGGTAGATTGAATCAGTGAATCATCCAAAATGAAGGCGTTTGCCAAGCAATAAAACATTTTGGGAAAATGCATTACTTGGGCAATTCTTCATCCAGCCGGCCAGCACCGGCAGAGCCCAAATGATTATATTCCAACTGGTTGGACTGGAATACCTGTACTACAGCGAAGACATCAATCATCTTGAATGAATAAATTGCCCAATCCAAGTGTACATTTGATGGACAAATTGTAAAGTCTCTGTAAATTGGGGCTCATTTCGAGGCAGCGAAAATGTGGTTCAAGCCAGAATCCTCCCTCAAATGAGATCCTCGTCTAAATAGAAACCGGTCAGAGGAACAAAGGTTGTTCCAACCAAACTAGGCTGACATTTGATGTTAATATTAAAAGTGGTCTGCATAAATGCCTGCTTGCTTTATCGCAATTCAACTCACCAATGCGCTGTTTACTGCTCGTCGTCTCCAGAATGCAGGAGGAGGAACGCTCGTCGAGTCGGTAGGTGGTGACGACAGTCGCCAGTTCACTCGAATTGGCCAGACAACGGATGTGCTTCCTGTCGACCGGGCACCGGCATCGGCGTCGTTGCTGTCGCAACACCGTAGACCTGCACTCGACTGACTCGTGTAGGCGACCAAGTTGACCTTTTGCTGCGTTACCACGAGCATCCTGCGCCACGGTAGGCCGACGGACGGCCTGAAATCCCAGCCAACGATCAACGGCCCAGTCACCATGGCACTTGCCACGAATGTAACGGATATGCTGAGGACAGCCTAAGGTTGAGATTGGATGTAATATTGGCAAAAAGTTACCACTTTATCTGAACTAGATTATCTTAATTATAGTTTAACTTCTTCCTTGAACGAAAGCTGATTGCAAGAGCAAACAATATATTTCATAAAATCTAGTATAAACAATTATTCTAGATTAATTCAAACGAATAAGTATAGAGTTTAATACACTAAAAGATCATCCTTACCAAAAACATACCTTTAATAGAAGAGAACAAGATACACATCTAAAATGGTAAGCTCACGCAATAGCATTTCAGCAAAGCACCTTTAAATTGGAATATACCAAAAGGTAAATAAATATTTTAATTTTTACCTAATCATATCAGTACTTATAGTCAAGCCTATCTTTTACAAACACTAAAGTAATATTAAACCAAATGAGACAGCAAAATGTATAAAAATTAAAAAAAATCAAACGCATTTACCACACATGCTTGCAAACATGGTAGATTATTTGTTTTAATGTTAAGATAAGTTGGGTTAAGAAGTTGAGCATCTTCGCCTCTACTAAGCACAGACTCAAATCTCAGCTTGGGCCATTTCAGACAAGCGCCGTTTGCCCACGTACCACATCTCAACTTGTACTTTGCCAGGCTCTGAACACAGCGACAACTTTTGTATACTCGATTAGTCACAGTAACTTGACGGAACTCGCCACTGCATTGGGAAACGCGGATCTTTGGGGCTCTGCGGCCGCAGTTGATGCGCTGACTGACTTTGCGACGGCGCTCCTCACAATGTGGACTCGGAGTGTGGAGACCGTCAGGGCTGGCGGAGGATTGTGGAGATGAGGAGAGAGGTTGGCCGACTTGACGTGGACGCGTCGAATTGTCGACAAGGAAATATTCGGTCCAAACCTTCATCAGGACACGATCTTTCTCGAGGCAAACCTGCCGTGGCGAAGAGGCTGGGGGACAACAACAAGTTATCTTGTCCACGTGCCTGAGTGAAAGATATGAGGTAATACATTTATTTCCAATTAAGAACGTTTCCCATTCTGTGACTAACAAGTTATTACAGTATTGCTATCAGCATATAAAAACACACAAAACTTTTCATACCCATTGGGACACACAGACACACGGACATAGAATAAGAACTCCAGAGGCATTTTTTGTCCCAAATTAGTGGAAAATTCTGGTCTAATTGTCTTTCTTAGTAAAGGACTTCTTGCAAAGTGTAGACGACACATGGCCCGTCTATGAGCGAAGAAATTTCATTTTCCTACTTCCAACCGTGTCTGTTCACTCTTCTTTTCACCTCATCTTCTACTAATGGTAGAATTTTATAAATCAAGCCGATTATTGTCTTGAAAAAAACCCATACAACTCCAGCATAACTCTGCTTGTAGACGAAACAACTCTTAGAGGCTTCCTGCACGCATCCGCCAACAGATAGTGACTGTTTCACTATTGAAGGCAAGCAAATTTTGAGAGCTTAGATACCGTATTATTTCGTAGCTGACAGGAGCTTGATTGTTGTCTAAGTAGAACAATCTATACTCAATTCTATATTGCAATGATCATGATAAATTGAAGGGAAGGCGGGATTTTCGAACCGGATTTCACTTAATCATGCATCCAAAAAGTGTTCAGTCTCGTCTTGGTGTGGATGAGAAAAGTATTTCGTTAAAGACAGAAAGAATTGAAGATGAGAGCAAAAATCAAGTCTTTGCTTCAATTGATCGTGAGCAGAAACGCAATCACTTCGATACCGAAAATAAATAATTATTTAACCCTAATCTCATCTTATGATCAATCGCTTTACGGGTTGCTCGCAAAAACTTTGCATCGAGTCCCTTTAAGCAAGCGGCTTGCCGTTTGGGATGGCGTAAATCATCGGTTCGGGTCCAACAAGTGGGCATATGGAAATGTTTGTGTGAAATAGGAAAGGGCCTATGCCTAATTGATTACAGCAAAGGAGACTAGATTGGTCAACAAGCGTGGAAATTGTATGTGGTAGAGTTTTAGTGTGAATATTGAATGGCCGGATAGGGTCGTAAATTTGATCATGGTTCTCACTTCTGTACCACATGTTTCCTGTGAAAAGATGAACAAAAAACACTCTTAGCTTAGTCTCATCGGAAGCACTATGGAGGCATGAAGATGTTACCATTTAAGTAGGTGTTGCAAGTAAACGACACTCATGATGCACAACATTCCGCTAACACATCCAAACATCCTGTCCTACTTGCGGATCTTCGGGCTCGACACAGTCAAAGAGCCCTCTAGACTGTAGTCAAGGACAAGCAAGAAAAAACTCGAGAAACATGCTCCAAAGGGTCCGGACAAAGCCTCGTTTAGCCGCATTCTTGGCAAAAGTTGACTGGAAGGAATTCGGAAACCGAAGGAGCATTTTTGCGAAGACGTGCTCGGCTCATCGTCTTGCGACCCTAAGAAACATGTGCCAAGCTTTGGTCTATACCACCATGACAGACATCATCCGAGCAGGAATCCATACTTTGCGAGGTAGAGGAGCAAAAATATACTAAACCAAGAATAAAGGTATCCGGCTGCAACCTTGGTGGCTTTTTATACACTCAACTTTGCGATCTCAATGAGACAATACATGATTTGGCTGGATGGTTCAACCCTACTCTACACTCATACAAATGAGGGAAGTTACTTCACCAACCGGAAGTGCGTTCGGTGGAAGCTGTTTCCTCACACAAATAAACTAGTCTAGATCAAGAGACACTCCTAGTTCCCATGTTATTAGTTTGTTACATGAACGATCACTTTGCCGCTCAACAACACGGCAAAGATAGTTTTGGGTAAATTACTTTAGCTAATATGTTGAATAGATGGCGATACTAGGTTTACTATTGAGCCAGAAAAGGAAAATATACTATCTTTTTTGGATGTCATAGTAAGCAAATAAGGTAATAAGTTGGGTAGAGACTTCTAAAGCAATCACACATAGACGGGTTTCCTTATTAATTTCATCTCCAACCATACATATAGAGTCGAAATTGGAGTTATGATATCAAGGCCAACAAGAAGTCTGCGTCGAAACATACTCAAAAGGAAATATGATTGCAGTTCATGCGTCAGTAATAAACGAGATTTAGCTATCTGGAGCGGGATAGATAGACAATTGGACCATTCTACTCGATTTCTCACTTTGCCTTCCTGCAAGTTCGTGAAAAAGTTGGTTGATATGCTGAGTAAGTGGAGCATCAAAACAATGTATAAAGAAAAATAAACACTTTTTTCAGTGGCTACTTCGATCAAAGAATTTTCGGACCCTCTTACTTTATCAGGTTGCTACAAGGTTTTGTATTAATGTATTAATGCCCATGTGGGAGAGACCAACCGCCCCATCCAGACGAGACTATGCGAACGCAAAACCACTTGTAAAGGTTCATAGATCCAAAAATCTGGGCACTCAATAGACTCGTCCAAAGTACAAAGTTTTGCGGGTTGCGCGGACTTGATATCAAGGCTGGTCTATAGAAATGGACAAAACGAGTGTAGAAAGCTGAGTAGGAACTATTTGTGAATGTTGGATAGTCTTAAGGAGAGGGTGGGGGAGAGCGGGAAGAGCCACTGGACAAGAGAAGGAGGCCAGGATTATCACACCTCTTATGACATAACTATGACATACACACAATGGACAATAAAGCAAACCCAAACTTCAGACAACATGAGGAAACAGCTGCCACCGAACGCACTTCCAGTTCGTGGGGTAACTTCATTCACAGGCAAGCATGTAGAGTAAGGTTGAGTTGTCCAACTGATCCATGTGATGCCCCATTAAGATCGCAAGGTCTTGTGTGTAAAACGTGATTGGGATTAAATCCGCCAACTATGCTGTTGATTTAGTATATTTTATACGTTAGTTAGTAAAGTTTTTTTTTCTTTTCTTGTGATGTCTGTCATGGCGTTACAGACTAAAGCCTGGCACAGATTCATCGGTGTCGTAGGACGATGCGTCGAGAACTTTTTCACACCATTCAACAATTTTACATAAGCGGCAATAGTCTTTCGGTTTTCGGTGAGACCACATCACGAATTCCTTCCAACCAACTTATCCTTTGAAATGGAAGGTTATGTCACAGTATATAACTGAGGAATTCATCGAAATCCTGTTTTTCCGGATACTCAAATTTCCTAATACTGGGTCGAATAAAGAATAGACCACATAGGACATTTCGATGAGATAAATGTGCATTTTGTAGGGCGGTAGTAGGCATGTTAACTATCCTTAAAGCTATTTAGAAAAAAGTGAATTTGATATTTGAGCATCGGTGACTTTCAGTTCGTCAAAAATGCCTGCTGAAAAGATTTTTATTTCCATTTCACTAGAAGACGATGTCTAATTTAAGTAACTTTCCATTCGTTTGGTCCTACCAAAACGACAGACATCGTCAAATTTTGAGCTCATTATGAAAAAGGTTTTGTGTTAACACCAAATGAAGCAGACTACCGCACATGCTATATACACTTATAAATAAAAGAGAACTAGAAATGTACAGATATAAATAGATATAAATCCATTTCGTTATTCTTATTCATATTCATCAAGGCATTTTTATGTTTGATTGTATATGTGCGTGTGCGCACGTGCGCTGTATGTGTTTGCATCTATACGCAAGTGAGTGAGATTAGGAAAGTAGCAATACTAATTTCGCATAAATATAAATCTGAGCACAACGTCCTTTCAGCATCATCACCGTTTTATAGCCCAATTAAAGCATGAAAGGATTTTCCTACTCCCAAAGTCCCGGCCTATTGAAGTGTTAAGTTTATCATAACTGTTGAATGAATCTGGATTTGGTTAGAAGTAGCATCAAGTCGTCTTCGTTTACTGGTGGCCCAACATTCTCCCTCTCTAACTCTACTACTCAAGCATAGGTAGTAGTCAAATCAATTTCTCTTAATTACATGCATTCAACGTTTTCCCTTATATATGTAAACTTCGATTGCCTCCCTTATCTTGAGGTTAACAGCAGACGTACCATAAACGTCCAATTTCGGCCCCGTGCCTTGCAGTCACTTTTGACGGTTAGACCAGCAAGCCTATACGCACATGTTCTTGTGTTTTGTTAAAAGTTGGCAAGCGGGCGACGAAATGATTACAAAATTTTGTAACAGCTGGATCTAGATAATGGGTAGAGTTTTTACACAAAAAGTAGGACTAATCGAAAAAAATATCTAGGCATATTTGAAAACTATTTTAAACTCCCCATAGTTATCACGTCACCTATATTTTTAGTCAAAAATCATGATGATGATGAGGTTAAAAAATGAGAAAGATGTTAAACTTGTCGAACTTTTATCAAAAAGTCTTTATAAAAATCCACTCTATATTAAAGGTGCATTACCGTCAATTAGGCTTAAAGGATAATTAGTTAGCAAAAATAAATGAACATTTATTGCAAAATCCCAACCCGATGATTCTTTATTTAGCGTTAACTTGAAGCCTTTGCACAAATGACATTCTACGCTGATGAAGTCTATGGTATGGCGGACGAAACCTAGTCCTCATTTTAGTTAAATCAAGGAATGCGTAAATTGGAAAGTTTTTGATAAAATTAAAGG